CAACAGCATCTTCCCCAGTAACTTGATATCATCAACGTATACTGCCAGCCCACTCCACTGACTTCCCACCGAAATCGAGCCATCTCTGCGGCCCGGAAAAGGGCCTAATTGATCGGTGCCTCTTGCAAGCTGCACAAAGGAATTTTTTTACCTCCCAAATTCGGCATACTCCAGCTTCGATCAGCACTCGTGGTGGGCGGTTCATCAGCAATCGTCCCGAAGCGTCTCGTCGAGGCACTGGTAAGAACGCTTTTTTAACGTGCAGGCTTGCTGTCCTCCATCCTTCCAACGCACTTTTCCTCAGCAAGGCTCTGAGCACCGTGGCATCCGCTCCACCAGCATGGAGTTGATGTTGGTGCCTCCAAAGGACTTGGCGCCTTTTTTTCAGCTTGAAAACGAGTATTTCTTGTTGCACTTCAGCTTCTGCTCTGCCGTTGCTTTTGGGGATCATCACCTTGTGTGAAGGTGTGGGTCATGTTTTTGTGAGCACACTATGTTGCCACCTCTTGAAAGCCCTTTTTCTCGATCGCTGTGAAGCTTCACCAAATTGATGCAGCGAAAGCGAGGATGTAGTCGTGACAGTCCCGCTAGCGGTGACATGACACTTTGATCCTCCAAGATCTCTATCATCGTGAGGTTCTGGAGCTCGTGAGGTTGCTTCACTCATCTTGAATCAACTTCTTCTTCTTCTTCTAAGCCTTCAACCGGCTCAACCCCCTCCAGGTGCTTCTCCTCCAAGGTCTCTACCTCCGGGCACTGGGTAGCTGATCTGGAACTGGAGTAGCAAGGTCCTTGACCGACGTGAACCGGCCAATAATGTCAATGGCCAGAGTGAGGGCCGCAGAAGCTGTTTTGGATCTTCGATGGGATGTCGTGTGCCCATCGCTTCGATTCAAGCACGGCAGTCGCGACTAAACGGAACATGCTGCATCGATCCAGGTCTAATTTCGCCACCTGGACGCGGCGTCGTCCTCCTTGAGCATCTCCTTCAAAGAATACTGATGGCACGAACAAAGCCCGGCGACCATTCGGACCAGCTCCTCGATGCTGCCATTCTCTGACGACGCTCTCCACCATTTGGATCAGTTGCACCTCCTTGCAGTGTTCCAACCTCTCCATCATAGGCAAGTTTGTCAACAGTCCAGTGGGTTTTCTTCTGCAGTGACCGGTCGCTCTCTGATCAAAGCAAACCATTTTCATGTTTTCGTCCCCCTCAAATAGCTGTTGAAGTTGAGGCCATTCGAAGAACGATGGGGATTCTTGACCTTCCTGATACGTAGCTGGATCTTGAGGGCTCTCCAGTAAAAATTCTGTCATAAACATTCTCTTCGAGCTCTGTTGACACATCTTCCAAAGGCCAACCTGCTTGAGAACCAAGGCAGAATCATTGTTTGTCAGCTGAGTGTTCTGCTCCGACGGCTGTAAAAAGCCCCATCTCTCATGTCCTAGTCCTCGAACTCTTCCCGGACCTGGGGTCCCTTGTTGCGGGGAGGAACTTCAATACCTGTATCAACCCGACTCGGCTTGTCGTAGGTTGGGACCCGTTCACCCCCAGCGCTTGTCACTGACTCAAAGGAAGCCGAGTTGCCTCCACCAGAGATCTTGCGAACCTCCTTGGCAAAGCGCTCCTCCGCCTCCCGCAGAACTCTTTCTCGAATTGTTTCAACTTCTTGCTGCGTTGGACTCCTTCTATCTCCAGGTCGCTGTTCCGACTCAGTGCGACTTCCTGGTGCCTCTCTTTGACCAGGGTCACTCCAAAAGGGATTGACATTGCCCTTACTCTGTTGAGGAGGCATGGAAATGAAGTGCGGGTCAAGATCTCAAGGCCGCGGACCAAGGCCACGGCTTTTGCCCAGTTGTTTTTTCCCCAGGATGCACTGGTAGTTGAGGCGATGACATCATGCCCATTTGCCCCCCATGAGGTGGTTCTTCAAGGAGTGGTCCCAGCAGGCTCTGTGATGGTGGAGGCGTGTAGGTTCCCGACCCTTGTCCGGCTGGACCGAAAGCCCTTTGCAACACTTCTAGGGATTGCCGCACCGTCTCTGGCCACCCATCTTGCCCTGGAGCCAACCTCCAACCATTGCCACCCTCTTGAGCCGAGGTTCTATCAGCCGGGCTTCGATCCTGAGTTGCCGCCATTGTCGAGGAAGTCGCCTGCGCATCGCCGCGAGCATCCGCCGCCAGCCGCCGCATCGTTGCAGATCTGGGTGGCATGGATGATGCTCTTGCAATCCTGGCTTCCTCTTCAAGGAGGGAGTCCAGCCTTTCGTTTGCCGCTCCGACCCTCAGTTGACCAGCTGGTCTTGAGGGTCCTTGACCTTCTCGGGTCGATCTCTGGAGGCGCGGCGTCGGCGCATGAAATCGAACATGGGAGCCAGGCCAGCAACTCAAAAAAGAGGTGGTCTTGGGCTCATAACCTGATGTTAGAGCGAAAACCTATCGCCCTGTTAGCCACGAGCGAAGTGCATGATTTCATGCTGGCTTGAAAGTTGACATGGAAGTGTCGTGAGCCACAAGTACAATATTTTGTGTGATTCACATATATTATATATATGGGGTGTAATCAATTATTTTGTAAGAAAATATGATCTATATATAGAAAAACACAAAACTTGTATGATAATAATATATCTGGTGGAGGTGATTCCTCACTGTCGTCAATTCGGAAGGAGATTGCAAAGGACAATGACAAATGCAGCAAGGAACAACAAATTGCTACGTAGATACAATCGATCGCACCGGCTTCTTGCCGCACTTTTACGCCCTTGCTCCAAACTATTCATGCTAAAACTCTCTGGTTGGTTATTAATAAAATTATCCCTTCATCGTTGGTTCCTATTCGGATATAGTCCGGAAGATATGGTAACTTCCAACACAGTCTGGAGTTGCAATAAATTTCTTATCTGTGTACAAAAGATGCAACCTTGGTTGCCTCTACCCATGAACAAAACCTGCTACCACGAAAATACTACATCATTTGGCACCTTTATCACATATAAATACATATCTACCCAAGTCTTATCTTTATTTATTCTTAGTCTATCAATAATTATTTTTTAATTGTCCTTATCATTCTCTCAACCTAATTAATAGGGGCTTTTGTTGTGTATTCTATTCCTTCTCCTTTAAAATAGGTTTGTAATTTCTTGTTATTTAATGTTCCTTCGTCTTCAGAATAGATTAATAATAACTAACCTAATACCTTAAAATATTCCATTACCATCAATATCGTTATTTTCCATTGGCGCTATATAACATTTTGTATTGAATATATCTATATATTTCAAGCCAAAAATAAATTAATATTTTTATTTCATTTTTAACCTCCCTTAATAGATTTTTTATAAATATCAAATCAAATTAAAATTCATATTTAAGATAAGAAGCAATATAAGAATTAAGATTCTTATAATTTCTTATTTGTTTGTTTGGTTAAAATCCCACCCATTATAAAATCACATCCAAAATTATACCTACATCGATTTTCCTAGCCTTTTCGTATAAATCCTTTCACCGAACCGAAGCCCTCCTCCACATCGTAATAAATTTTTTCCAATACCTTTTCTTTTGCCAATTTTATCACAAAAAAAATTTAGATTATATTTTAATAATATTTTTTTACATCATAAATCATAATAAATTTACACTAAACACCTTTAGCACTTTTTGGTTTTCTTGTATTTTACCAGATTTAATTTGCAATTTATAACAGAATCGCATATATCGTATACGCACGGTCGTTTCGTCTTCTCTTAATAATATCTTTAGAAATATTGTTCGTCGTTCGGCTTTCTATTATAATATCCGTCGTATTGCCTTCTCCATTAGGGTTTTATAGTTTTTTAGACTAATGAAATTGCTTCATAGCCAAAACCGTTCCAAATAAAAGCAAAAATTTCATTCGTCATCACAATTCCACTATTTACAAAGTAACAACGCATATGGTATATATAATTACCTATATATTTTAATATATATTTAAGTATGTTCATCCTCAATAAAAATTATATATATCAGTTTGTATTTATAGTATCGCATATAAGTCCCTAACACGAACCCCAAAACAGTTTCGATATCAAAGTTTATAGGCTTAAGCATTTTACCCTTCCAACTTCCCACCAATTGATTTTTAGTGACATCCAAACCTAAACATGTTTGGCGTTCAAAACAGTGAGACTTGAGCTTTGTCGCAAGCCAATCCAAAAACCAAACCAATTTCGCCCAAATCGAGCCAGTCTTTCCCTAAAAGCGAGTCAGCCTTTCCCTAAAACAGAGCCAGTTTTTCCCCAAAGCCGGTGGCAGAATCGGTGACGGATTTCCCCAAAATCGGTGGTTGATTTCCTGAGAGCCAGCCTCGTTCACCGGAACCCCAACTCCCGAAGCCAAAAATGCAAAAAACACTTTTGTACATACTTGCTCAAAACACAAAAACAATGAGGGATTTCCAGCCCGCAATCCACTCGTGGAGCTTGCAGGAAAACACAACCGAGGGTGAACCTGTGGATTTCTCAAAAGAACTGCTCCCAAGACCAAATTGTCAATACTTTTCCTCCTTCTTGCTTAACCCTGTCAAAGGCACACCAAACTTTGTCCACTTCTTTTCCACAAATTTTCAATATATATTCCTCCAGTTTTCTTTTCAAGTTTCTTTCAGGAAAGCCGGTTCAAAATCAAGCACTTACCTTCTCCCACAATGCATGGTTGGATTCGTGGCTGTGCTTGGGCGTATACATTGCCCGAGTGAAACGTATCTTGAACAGCTTTTGGTTCACTGTTTCTGCACCCGCTGTGTGCACAACCTGCTGGACAAGAGTGTCAACGCAGTGTCTCATATCTTGTGAGTGATGCACGGTCATGCCACAGCGACATCCACTCTACATTTACTCCAAAGATGGAATTCGTTGAAACTATTGGGAACCCTTGCTCTCAATTGGTTTCACCTCAGCCACAGAAGGGCAAGACAAGTGGAACGCTAGGCGTAACGCTGCTGAGAAAAACACTCACGCTGATGGCAATGTGAAGCCATAGCAATCTGTCCTTAAAACTGGAGGGAAAAACACAAACTTGAAGTGTGGTCAAACCAGCTGTTTCTCGAACCAAGCGCAGCTCAGAGGCGGCAAAAAAACAAAAATACATCAGAAGGTTGTAACATTGACATCAGTTTGAAGCCCTGCATGGTTAAAAGCTGCTCAAAACAAAACACCAAGTGCCGGGCTCATCCGTGTTGCGAAGGCTTGCCGACATCTTTTCTTTTTTTATCCACTTTCCATCCTGCCATGAGCAAACTGGTAAACCACAATGCTGCAAAGGCAAGTTGAGACGGTGGTGTGCAAGGGGTTGGGTGAGGTGTTGTGAAAGAAAACAATTGGACAAATTCACCTGACCAGCGATTGACAAAAGAGTGAAAAGTGAAAAGGTAGCAAAGACATTGCAATGCAAAGCGCTGAGTCGAGCGAACAAACCCTGAGAAATTGAAATACAACTAGCAAACGAGTTGGTGGCATAAACAGCGGCTCGTCCTGTTGGCTAAAAATATCAATTTTGGAAGGCGCAATGGATAGTTCCTCCTCCTTCTTGATTGCCTCACGGCAAAGCGACAATAACCACCATGCACTTGCACACGCGTTGAAGAAAACACGTTCTGGCTTGCATCGCTGCCTGCTTTGTTTGTCTTCTTCATTCAACGTTCACCAAGGCACAGCATCAAGTTTGATTGAACAACAACAAGCTCTGAGCTCTGGACTTTCTTCAAATAGGCAATATTGGAGGGCACTGGGTCAATTGGGAAAGCGTTGCCCATCTGCTCGAATGTATCACCGTCCTGCAATTGCAACAGGGGGTGGGCGACAGCCAATGGCTGCGCCTTTCGATAAGCAAGTGCAAAAGAACAATGCGCATGACAAGCAATGCAATGCATTACGCAAGAACTTTGACCTTGGGATGTGAAAATGGCTGAAGGAAATTTCTTCATGAAGTTTCAGCTGAACAAACCACTTCTGTTCTTAACCTACCACTAGTCAAAGGCTTGAAAAGGAACAAAGGCACTTGAGGCCAGGGGGAGGAGGTCGAAAGCTAGCCGAATCGCACCGGATGTACTAGTCACATAGTCGGCAAAGCATGTAGTGAGTACATGTTCTGGGAGGAAGGTTGCTATGTACATACTTTGCGCTAAAGAATGTAAATGTGACATCGCTGACTGGGACTGGGAAGGGTACATTGGAACAGCCCGGGTGCACTCGTTGGCAGGCACGAAGATGCGTGATCGGCAAATCTCGGGTAAATTTACCCTCCGCATTTCTGACATCATACGGACTGTACATACACTAGGGCGTCCGTAGTGTAAGAGAAGCACGGGTAAAAGGTATATGGAATAGAGTGTCTTGAGGAAATAGCCGGCTTATGGTTATTGCAAAGCTGGGGGGTAAATTTACCACCCGCTTATGAGCATTTCTGGCATCACAAGGACTGTGCAAACACTAGGGCGTCCGTAGTGTAGGATAAGCACTGGTAAAAAGGGAGTAAAAGGTATCAGGAATAGAGTGTCTTGAGGAAATAGCCTATGTATGGTTATAGCAAGCCTTGGGAGTAAATTTACCACCCGCTTATGCATGCACTAGGTTAGAAATAGGGTAAACAACTTGTAAGGGTGAAGTACAAGTCCTATGCAGCAAGCAGCAGCCGGCAGCAGCTGCAGCAGAAGCAGCCGCCTGCAGCCAGCAGCCAGCAGCAACCGCCAAGCAGCCAGCCAGCAGCACCACGCAGCAGCAGCGCAGCACCAAGCCGCAGCAGCAGCAGCAGCAGCAGCACCACCGGCAGCAAGCAGCAAGCAGCATCGTCAGCAACAGCAGCAGCAGCACCAAGCCGCAACAAGTAGCAAAGCATGAACTACCTCAAATGATCTCAAATATACACGCAACTCATTATCATTATACCTATCAGTTTGTTAACTTCTGCATTGAATGAGCCACTCGAACCAGCAAAACGACGCCAACCCTGGACGGAGGCTGAAGGAACGACGTAGCATGGAGGTGAAATGGAGCGTGCTCGCCGTAGGACATGCCTTGACCAAGGATTGTAGACGCAAACAATTGCACAAACATATGCACACCTTGCCGCTGTCTGAACACCAGCCAGCAAAGCTATCACGCAATTCATTCAGTGGAATGGTGGTACGCACCACAACAATAAGCGAAGCGGCGCAGCTGGGAGTTGAACCGCGGGGGGGGGGGTTAGCTTGATATATCAATCTTTAAGGCACGCAGCCCCTCCCACCACAACATTGCTAAAGCAAAGAATAACTCAGCTAGCATGCTAGCTTTCGTGACTAGCGTGGCACCTGTTACTACTAGCGTCCTTGTTACTACTAGTAAGGCACCTGTTACTAGTAGTAAGGCACCTGTTACTACTAGCGTGGCACCTGTTACTACTAGCGTCCTTGTTACTACTAGTAAGGCACCTGTTACTAGTAGTAAGGCACGCCTGTTACTACTAGCGTGGCACCTTTACTACTAGCGTCCTTGTTACTACTAGTAAGGCGCCTGTTGCTAGTAGTAAGGCACCTGTTGCTACTAGCGTGACACCTGTTACTACTATGTGAGCGCACGTACGAACGAGCGAACGCACGCGCAGCTGTTTACGCTCACAAGGACGAGCGGAGGGCAACATACTTCTTCAACCCTAAAACAATTGTTTTCAACCCTAACCTTTTTTTTCAACCCTGCAACATTTTTTTAACCCTAGAACATTGTTTTTTGACGCTGTAACATTCGTTTTTAACCCTTGTACATGCTTTTTCGACCCTGGACCCTTCTTTTTCAACCCCGTCCATGTGGGTCCACCAAACTGATACCCGTAACTGGAAATGCGTTAACTTGCCCTTAGCCCATTTATGAAAATCCAGTAACATCTCGGCCAGTCTCAGATCTCAGTAAAAGTATGTAAAAGTTGGTTTCCTATATCCTACAAACTTGTTTCGCGTTGCACTTCCACTTCCCGAGAATGGTCCTTTACACAAGTCCCAGCACCCACGGGCCCATTCACAAGTTCGATCGAGCTATACAACAGAAAGCGTACTTGCCTATATATAGATATATGTCGGTGCACATGTCGGCCCTAGTTGCCAGGACAATCTCTCGATGCAAGTGTGCGCATGAGCCTAGCCTTTCCTCATAGGCTGGAGTCTGGAGGGCAGCCCGTGAGCCAAGAGCCAGACATGCCAAACACAAGCAATCACAATCGATAATTACAGTTCATGAAGCGACGCCCTTCAGACCCTTGAGAGCAAATGCACAGAAGAGTTGCTGTAGCAGGACGACATATTAACATGAATTCAAAAAACTCAAGGGACTAATGCGTAGGGTTATTGTCTTTTTGGGGGATGCCTTGCTGTGGGCACTGGCCTGTTTAACTGTTTCAAGGCCACCAGTGCTCAGGAACTATTTAAAACCATGGAGGCTGTTTGGAACAATTCAAAGGCTAACTGGCCTGGAATGACTTCTAGCCCTGTGTATATGTGGAGAACCAAGCCCGAGGGAGAATATAAAAAACAACGGAAATCCTCAGTCCTGAAGAAATCCTATGGACTGAATGTGTTTAAACAAACAATCAGCAGCAAGAGCCAGTGAACGCAATTGATTCTTTTTCATCGCTCTCGTCTGGTAGTTTCACTGTCTTTGCAGACAAGTTCACTTTTGCCTCCCGAACATATTCCCCTAGCTCAGGAGACCTGACCTGATCATTCAAAAAACCTCAGCCCTGATCAGGGATGAGGTGCTGGAAAACAGCTCGCCCAGTCACTTCTTGGCTTTGGCCTTGGGAGTTGATTTTGGCGCGGCCTTGGCCTTTCGTTTCCTTTTTCCATCTCCTGAAGGATTGCCATCGCCCTCCTCATTCCTTGATTGATTGGTCAGTCAAAAGATAGACTGGACTGTACTGGACAGGTATTTGCTCAGTACAAGTACAAGTACTTTTTGGATGTCTGTTCTGCCCTTGTCTATCAGTCCAGTCCAATCTATCACTGATCTAAATTCCATGTTCCAAAAAGACAAAGCATCTTCTACCACACTTGGGAGGCACTAGCGTGGTCATGAGATTGGATGGCAAAAAATTGAAGAACTCAACTGAAACGAGATTCCCAGGCTGGCTCTTCTCAGAAGGCATTGCGCCAAGCTTTGCCTGGAGGTGCTCGCTCAAATCTGAACGAGTGAGGCCCAGCTGCTTTGCCATGGTTGCGCAGATCTTGCGAGCACTGGCCAACTTGTCCGGGTACTTCTTCTCATTGATTACCAACTCCCCAACCATCATCGATCCACAAATCTCGCTCACCAATGAGCGCGTGTCCTACAAAATTGGAGCAACAGACTGAACCTGTTGTGGTTTGTTGGTTATGAGTTGGGGTGCAATGTTGCAATTGTGGCATTTGCATCCTCACAGTGTCTAAAGTCAAGGGCAAATCTAAACCATGAAAGGTGGCCCAAGTCCTGAATTTGTTTGTACATCTGAAGACAGGTGTCACGCAATGTAGAGCCTCCCCGGCCCTGGAACTTCTGAATGCTTTGAATATGGCGCAAAAAGTCTTCTTCCAAATTGGCATCAGAGCGCCATTTGAGCATTTCTTCCATGTCCTGGTCCACCTCCTTCTGGCCGTTGAACATCCATTGGACATTGTCAATGGCCCATGTCTTCACAGCCACGAGAAGTGGCCTCAATGTTAGCCAAGTGTTTTGTTTCCCTGGTCCCTTTCAAACATGGCTGTTGGATATTGGGGGTCACCAAACCTTGTATGTCTGTACTGTATGTAGTAGTAGCTGTAGCAGGGTTATGTAAGTCAGTCTGTAGCTATGGCCCTGCCTGTACTTCTCGATGATGTGTTCAATGCTTGTTTGTCCCCGCTTGATCTCTGTAGTCGCTTCCTCCAAGGCTTTCATGACAGAATCCTTGTAGGCCACTACCTTGTTGACCTCTTCCTCAGGCAGAAAGTCCCCCATCACGGAAGTATCCATTGATGCGACTGTCAAGCCCTTCTTCACGTACTTCAAGACTGCATTCAAGTCCTTCTTGTCCACTTCCACTGGTACAAGGTTCTTCAGGTGAGGTGCATTCTTGGCTAAGCTCAAGACAGGCTGGAGCTCAGGTGCCAAATGCTTGCAATTTGCAAGCGCAGGAGCAATCTCTTCTGGCCCACTCTGCTTCCATGTGCGGATGGCCCAACCCTTCCCAACGTACGCTATGACTTGCTCCAAGCGAGCAAGAAGCTTCTTGGCTGAACCATGCCATTCAGCTTTGGATGACAGGTGTGCACTCGAAGAGAGCTGCTTCTGAAGCTCTGCGTAAAGAGCGCATGCTTTCTCCAACATGTTCGCCTCAGCCTCCTCGTCTTGCATGCCCTCCATCGTGTCAAGAACCAGAAGCAACATGGTATTCTGCAACGTCTTCAAAGCTGTGTCTTGCTGCAGAACCCGGCTGCTAATCTCACCTGCCATGTATGCCCCAAACCCAAACCAAGAGAAACTGTGAGTGGCAAAGGATTCTGTGAGCCTGGGGTCTGGACATGAAGTAACTCACTCTGGATCAGAATTCTGTAGTACTGTGCTACGTGCTGCACAAAATGATTAGTCATCGTCATCTTCAACAACCCTTCATTAAGGTATTCGGTATTCTGCACTTTCATTAGCCCTCCACCTTCCACAATGAACTGCTTGACCTTGTCCACTGTAGACTCCTCCAACGCCAGTTTGAGGGTGGAAGTGTCAGCGAACAAAGAATCCAAAAAGGGACCCATCTTGATAGAGGAAGCCCAAGGATGGTTTGAGAAGAATTCTCGGATCTTGGCCAAGTGATCGTTGAGCGCTTGAACGGAACCTGCGCGCTCATCTGGAGAGTCTGAACTCTGCAAAGACCGGAGCGCGGGCTGAGCTTGCTTGCACTTGTCTGTCAATGCCACCACTTTGTCAAATGGGATGCTGGACCCAG